TATATGCTTATATGCTTATACTTAAAAAAAATAATGCTCACCTCGCCGTATATGGAGTAGATAAAAAAAGTTGCCACAAGATTAAAAGGTTAGTGAATTCGTGTCGCAACTCTCCCCATGCTCAGAAAGCTAAAAAAAAAAGTAAAATATGAAAAAACTCACGTATAAAAATTATGCATGTAGTATGCATTTGATATATAACATTCGTTATATATCATTTAATATAAAACAGGAAGGTGTACATTAAAATATTAATTGAGACAATTACCTGAAATTAACGGGATAACCAAATCCGCTGCAACAAGTATACAGATCGCAGGTTAAAAAATTCGAAAGATTCGCCATATTGCAGTGCATAAAACAGGCGCGTAAGACTGGCGCGAAAATACTGCATGCGCGAAAATGATGCGCAGTATGTCTTCCTTCCACCTATATTAAAGAAAAATTTTGAATGATTAAAAATACGATATAGAAGCATAAAAATTGTCAAAATATACTCAAAAAATCAAAATTGATCCTTACATCCTTTATATATTATAATAGGAAGGTGTAAATCTTACAAAATATCTTTTAATTACCTGATTTTAACGGGACGATGACACTCCGATGTGTTCTCCACGAATGACGCCATGAAACTGAAGAATTCGGACGAAAGCTTGGCTGTGATTGGCTAATTCATTTTTTTGAACAAGAWAAGGGTCATCACGGCTTCTTACACGGACAGAATCTGACCTTCCTCATGACCACGCTGGTCAAACTACATATGATAATTTATTTATTAAATAAATTAAAAATCATTTCTATTTTTCTAATAAATGTACACAATACTTATAAATATTCTAAAAATAATGAATAGAATAAAGACAATGTAGACATTAAGAGATCTTTGTCGTTTTGCACACAAAAACAAAATCGTATAGAAGAGAATTGTCGATAGAAAAATGTCTAATATAAAATGCAGCATATGAAAGAATAAATTCCCAAAATCTGTATCAATAAAGAATCCTCACAATTGAAATACTTTCAGAGATGCATAATTGTTTTAAAAATATTCATAATAACGTTTATACACGATTCACACAAAGATTATTCCACATGATTTTCTATGCTATAAGATACTACATTCTCATTATTTTATTCATTATTTTTAGAATAGTTATGAATATCGTGTACATTTTATTTGTAATCGAAAAAAGAAACATAAATTTATAACATATCAAAATTGTTTTCTATTTAATGTATGTTAAAACATATGAAATGTTTAAACCAATGTATATGCATAGAAATAATCTGAAATGTAATTAGATAATATTAGAATGATAAAATAATTGTTAAATAATTAATATAAGTGCATTTTGTTATCTAATAACTTATTACATATGATCTATGTACCTTTTCCTTCAAGATTCACCTTTTAACTGAAGCATTATCCTCTGTGAAAATGCTTTTATTCAATGTTGGTTATGATGTTTTCCAAATGTTGCCCATGTATGTAACAAAATAAAACATTCTAAGTAATCAGAGATACACATTATAACTCTCTTAATGTAATTACTATTTTTATTAAATGCACATGTAACTTGTAATCATTATAAAAATAATGAATACATTAAAAAGAATACATAGTATAAACATTATCTCATTGCTCACGAGAAACAATCATGTAGAAGAGAAACTTTTTCAAAGAGATATGTAAAACAATTGAAAATCTATCAATTGCCAACAATAGAAAAGTCCCTATAATTTGTTCTTTAACGTAAAAATACGCCTTTATGATGGAGATTTATTTTTATATGTGTGGCAAGCGATAGACTTTCAATTGTTTTACATATTTCTTTGACAAGGTTTCTTTTCTACATGATTATTTTCTCGACTACCATGAGATAATGTTTATACTATGTATTCTTTTTAATGTATTCATTATTTTTATAATGATTACAAGTTACATGTGCATTTAATAAAAATAGTAATTACATGAAGAGAGTTATAATGTTAATCTCTGTTTAATTGGAATGTTTTATTTTGTTACATACATGGGCAACATTTGGAAAACAACATAACCAACATTGAATAAAAGCATTTTNATATATATATATATTATATTTAAAACAATTAGACTATTGTAAACATTTGTATTTTTGTTTGTTACAGCAGCCTTGACTTTGAGTACCAGAATGATGAACTCTTATGTAGCCCAAATCGCATTATTTGCTATTATGAACGACGATTTGTATTTCAAAGTTTCAAAACTATAAAACATCCAGAAAAAAATCAAAATATAAATGATGTGAATAGCTTACAAAAATCATCAACATACATTCTGATAATTCTTGAAAACAATTAATCCCCGTTGGTATCAATCAAACAATGCATAATAATACTCGCAAATTAATATGATTTGCGTTGACTGACGACAAAGCATTTTTCATAAAGATGAGTTTATGAAATTTTTATCAATTTATACCACAAATTATGCAATCATTATCATCGTTTAGATTTAGAATTATTATTCTTTTTTTCTTTTTTTTTACATCCTATTGGAATAAGTTCATTAACAAGAAATAATAATAATTCACTTATTTTAAGAATAATAATAGATACTAAAAAAGTGAAAGACTTTCCAAATAGTGGAAGATATACATACGTTCGTATAATATATTTGTTTCATATGTATTTCGTTAGTATTCTTTATATACTATCTATATAATTATTATATATATATATACTAAACTTTTGTTAACTCATGAATTATATACTCGTTTCAATTTTGTTCTTTATAATTATACTTATAATTAATATTTAAATCTATAAAAAAAATGTACAAATTTTTTTTCAATACATTAAAATACAGATAAACTTAATAATTTGTTTATTCATTATTACCTATGAGCTGTTTATTTTGAAAGTGGTCTAACTCCGCACACATGTTTGAATCGAGATATTTAAGGGTTTGTTTGCGTTTCAATGCAATTCAAAATATATTAGGTAGTTCGGAAAGTCGTTTCGTTTTTTGCTGACGCAATAATGACATTAGTTGATGCAAACCGACAAATAGTAACACATGAGATCGATGAGAGATTAAATTTATCAAATTCAACTATTTCTGACCACTTGAAAGGATTACGTTTAACCTCGAAGCAAAAATTATCTTCATTTTTACAAAAGAAAAACGAGACGACTTTCCGAACCATCTAATACTAACAAGTCATCCTGTTCAAATGTATCTAAAGGGGTGTTCAATTTATATTTCCCATTAAAATAGTGCCAATTATTAAGTGAATAATATGCGTTTTTTTATCAACAATTGGATTTAGGCCACTTTCCAAATAAACATTTCAAATATTTGATTGCACCTGTAATAATGTGATTTTGTTTAAAGTAATGTAATTATGGTTGCATTACTCAAAGGGGCAACCCCGTTGTATTGAAACTCTTCTTACTACTACAGTTATAGAAAAATAACAAATCTGTAATTTGATAAAGCGAAAATGAAAAAATGTGAAATACGGGTGAACAAAATTTACCAGTGAAAAATTATTATTAAATTATAATATGCTTTAGTAAAAAAAAAAAAAAAAAAGAGTAAGAAATAAAATAGGGACAAAATTTCACGAATTAAAAAAAAAGAAAAAAAAAAAAAAACGAAAAATATTTCGTTTTTTCTTTCTCTTTAATTTTTTACTCTATATGAAAAATTTCATGAAAATGTATTTGAATGTGATGGACAAAACGAGTTCAATGGTGGACCATTAATTCGCTTTTTTTTTTTTTTATCGTTCATCGTGCGACCAACTAATCATATCAACGTAACAGAGAAAAGAACAAAAGATAAAAAAAAAAAAAAAAAAAAAGAGAATAAAATTTTAACTTCCAACATAAAATCCCATATTTTTCCAACTTCCCATTCTCAAAAATTGCTTTTGTTACTTTCTTTATTTTTTCTCTTCATCGAAATCACCCTCAAGCGGTTTGAAACGATAACTTTTATTAACACTGATGACATTATCATCTCTGATTTGTAGAGGAATACCAAAAGACACATGAATTTGGCGTGTCATAAAATGTAAGTGGTCTCGATAACGATTTTATCGATTTTATCAATTTTATCTATCCTATGGTTGGTCGATGGTACTTTCTTTGATAATTCGACTATATGTAGTAGTATTATATACGTGTAATGGTACCATATTGCAAGTCTCCCATAAATGGAAGGGTCACAGATAAAATTAATCAAAAAACCTTTTCCTATACAAGGTTTTATGTAAATACAATCAACTAATCATAAAACTTAATTATACAGGATGACCCATATAAAGTTTTCCATGCAATCATTTCATTAAATATTCGTTATTTATTAGGTAAAGCCATAAGTGACTTCCTGCATAACCTGATACGGTTATGTAGAATCTATTTTTCGTATTTACCTACTATAATTCACCGAAACAAACACATTTTTAATATCATTGTATAGATAAGGATTTAGTCTAGTCTTCTGTCAACTTTTTCATGTAATCAATGTTACATTTAACCATTTTTCTTAACCTCTCAAATGGATAGTAAAAAGTGCATATTCGACATGTAATGCTTTAGGAATTGAGACAAGGCAATGGTACTAAGGTGGCAGCTAAAAAAATATGCAGCAAATACGGTGCAGTACTGATAACTGATAGGACAGTCAAAAATTGATTTGTAAAATTTCGTTCTGAAGATACGAGCTTAAAAGACGAACCGAGTGCAAGGACGTCTTTCCGACTTTGATGAACCTTTTAAAGGTAATATTTTAGCAAAATCTAATGTATATGTCCAACAGATGCATGTATATGCAAAGATGCAAAACTCGTTTTTTTTTTACAATTCGTTTACAATTATATAATACACTAGCTGCATTCATAGTTATATTTAGTGACGAGAAATTTACTTCGCGATTAATCGAATCGACTATTCCTTCAAGCCCCTAAACTCCAAACTATGCTTTAATTATTGCTCAATCTCGTTCTATCCAACCCCAATCAATCAGCACAACCTTGAAAGTAACTTTAGACTTTCCTTTACAGTTCGTTATTCACAATCAAGGTTAGATTTGTACAGATAGTTTATTATACATTTAACAGGTAAGTAAATTCATTTTAAACTTTGACTTCATTAAACATTTCGAAATTGTTCTTTATTTATTATATTTATTTGAAAAGTAGCGCATAATAAAACTATCGTAAATTTAATTGTTATTGAAAAGAAAAACTCGTAACGTTAATTGCAATAATAGTAATTACGATAGTTACATATTTATATAAAGGATTTATACTAATACTTTATTATAAATAATTGAACATTTATTTAAAATATCGATTAAAAATGTCCAAAAATACTTAGTCCATAATCAAATCCTTTTAAGAATTTTGCAATGCTTTTTACAACGCTTACTATTAATTATTTTTAATAATTTTTACTAAAAATTTAAACAAATATTTGATATGTTAGTTTATACCAAGCACGAATATAATTTATAGATAAAGATTATTTTAAATATTAAATAATTAATAATTTTCCTTATTATTAAAGATAATGAAAAAGATAAAAAAATTCTATTACAAAAAGCATTAATTTACTATAAATAAACAATTAAATCTTCCGACATCTTAAATATTTTAATACTAATCTTTTTTTAAAAATAAAGTAGTAACATTTTTACTTAAACCATTGAAAACGTCTATGAAGTTTTAAATCCCGATTAGAAAAAGGGGATCGATAATAATCAAATATATTTATGGTTGAACACAAACCTTTCTTCGTATAGCGTTTAAAAGACCTACTAACATTTCACGAAGGCTAAAAAAGAAAAGTAAGGGTGTGCCTTTGATTCAAATACGATTTCCTTCGTGAATATTTAGAATCGTTTCGTGGGAAACTCGATATTGTAATGGCAATCGATCGTGACATTTTTTTAAACTTGACCCTAATGTAGTTCTCTAACTATACAAACAATGCGATCGTAACTAAAGCTCAAAATATTCCAGTAATTTAATTTTCAATTATAATATAGATATAAAAATGTTTCTATTAAATTATGAATTGTGTTTAATACGCAAGACCAGGAACACAATACAATGTGTAAAGTTTTAATTATTTATCAAGAATAATTTATCTTTGATTTAAAAATACGTTTAAACGCATAGTTTTATCATAGTCGTTTCATCGGTTATAAAAAATGATACTATAAATATTTACCTAAAACACTATCACAGTCTCGTACTTACCAAAAATTTTACAAATAAGTTTATTGCAAAATCCCAAGAAACTATTTTTACTAGAAAATCAAACATAAATTCATTAAAATTATTATTCTAAAAAAAAATTATTTCAATAATAAGATATTTGATCATAAAAAGTTTACAAAATCTTTCGTACATCTAAACAAATATTTGGAGTTATATTCGTTATAAAATTGAAAATAATAATTATTATTATTTAGTGAATATGTGTGTGCCTTCAGAAATGCCATTATACATATATTTAAAAATCAAGCAATTTCAACAGATCAAAACAAAAAAAAAACTAAAATGTTTGTTGTTAAATCCAACGATGATCACCTGCAACAAAAAGAAAACTATATTAATCATACAATCAAGGGAGATACAATAGCCTAACATATAAATCGCCCAATTTGCAGATGCACTTTTCAAATTGAATTCCCTATTTACTTTTTATAAAAGCTCTATTTAAAGTTGCAATAAAATTGAATTTAAACGCGTGATTTGACATTTACAAAAAAATTTAAAAAAAGTAAAAGTACAAATATTAATTTACAAGAGAAAATAATAACTATTAATTATTATAACTAATACTTTTAAACTGCATTATATAGAAAAGAAAAAATTACAAATTTAATAAAATGCGATCAAAGTGAAAAATCTTAAAGACAAAAAAAAAAGAGAGATTACTTTAATATTCAAAAAACGATAATTATGTTTCAAAATGTAATAAAAAGGAAATTTAAATATTTTGACTCGAACTAACTAAACACGTATGCATCTTTTTGACGATATAGACACGCATTTGGTGTCCCAAGGAGATGGAATGGTCCATCACCTCCAATTACAACTAGAAATTAATGACGAGCAAAAAAGTAAAACAATAAAATATAAAATATGACTAGAGAGCCATTCTCTAAAGGTTCAAACTTG